AAGCCTTAGTTTCCTTACCTATAAAATGGAATAGCTACTGCCATTTCTTACATCACAAATGGATTATAAAGACTAAAGAAGGTAAGGAAGCCGAAAGTGTGATTGGTGATGGTGGGGGCAGGGGTGGGGGTCAGAGGTGGAAGAGGGCATAGAGGGGAAAAGTGGTGATGGGAAAAATAAAATAAAATAATAAAAATACAGTAGGGAAAGAAGAGATCTATTTAGAATATACCAATGGTTTTGTTAAGGAGTGTTAGGTTATCAGTGGTAGTTAGAGCTTAGAAGATAGGACATTAAATCATGGTAACAATATGAGCCCTGTTAACCGCCTTGCTCACAACAGTTTTTATGTTGGTGGGACTGGCAAATAGATAATTAATATCATTGTGGTTTCATATTTTTACAGCAAGATTTTCCTCTTTGGAATTTTCATATCAAATATGAACCTCTTTTCCAAACATTCACATAATAATGTCATGCCAGGAAGGATCACCAGAGGGCACTACATCACTTACAGAGTCCGCCTGGCTCCTCCACAGCAAAATCACTAAGATTGATGTCAGGATTATTGGAATTGGGTCCAAGCCCCAGATAAATGAAACCTAGTGTGCATTCATTATGAAGCTGGGCCAACATTTAATTAAATAAGCTTCTTTGTTTCCTTGCCTATTACTTTAACCACTTTGCTTTTTTAGTTTGTAAGTTTATGCACTTTTATTTATTTCTTTTAAAGCAGTTGGGGTTGTTCAGATTAGCATTCTTCAGAAACTTGAAATCCTGGGTTGCTCTGAAAGCTGCCACAGGCACATGTTCACATGATAAAGATGCTAACCTCCTCTCCGAGACTTTTATAAGTGTAGTTAGGAATAAATAAGTGGCCTGCATTGTTTTCAGAACAGAGGAGGTTGAAATTTCTACTTTAGGCCTTCAGTTTCTTGTGCAATGGTCCTTAATTCCCAGTCTGCAGACACACCTACAAGAGGTGAAATGCACTGGGCTATTCCTAGGTGCTTCTCTATACTCTTTACATGCTTGAGGCTGTCCCAGGAAGTGGAAAGGCGATGAGTGGGCATGTGTGTCAGGGTTCAGAGGGTGCGTTCAGGCTGGAGTGGCTCTGCCATGCCTGGTGACAGTCCTTTCTTGGCTGTTCATGGGGCCCTATGGGCTGTAGTGTAATGGTTGCAGCAAAGGGCAGGGGAACAGGCCTCAGTTCTCATTTCAAAGGGGGGAGGCTCTTGGGATGCAGAACAGCAAAGTGGGGACAGGGAGCGTCAGTTCTGCCAGCAGGCACCTCCCTCAGCTTGTAGTGCATGCGCACAGGAGTGCTGGCTTGGGGGTGAGAAGATCGGGTCTGAGTTCGGCTGTTTTTGGGTCACTGTAAAATTATACACACAGTGTGTATGTTTTCTTTTTTATCCCTGCAAATGACCCTTGAGGTAGGCGGGCAGCTCCTGTTTTTATTCAAATTTATAAATGAGGAAACATGAAGAAGGAAAGGTACCTAAGTCCCTTCTAAGTGTGAAGTTCCATGTTCCTCGGTTGGTGAGGCCAGGTGCCAGGTTTCCTGAAGCTGGGGCAGAAGTCTGCAGGTGAGGGGGAAGTAGCCGGAGGGAGCTGGGCAAAGGCCTGATGAGGTCTGTTTCTGGTGGATGGCGGCACTGCCTCATTCTGTGCCCACTAGTCAGGCCACTGGGGAGGTGGTGAAGGCCTGGAGGTTGTAGGAAGGGTAGGACATTGGCGTTGACAGCGAGGGTCTCTCATGGATACCAACTGAGCCTAGGTTTTGATAACACAGAAGTTGCTAAAAGCTTCAATCAGCATAGGTAGGGGCGATGAAGGGAGCAGGAGATGATGTCCAATGGCCTCCCAGCACTCTCTGGAAGGATGAGATGAGATGAGGTGATGCTAGAAGAGAAACTCAGCTGGGGATTCAGCGTTTGCAGTACCAGAAGTCACAGCAACCAGTGGCTTGCTGCTAATAGCTCCAGACTGGCGTTTCAGGGCAAGGCAGGTTGTGGGGGAAGTCCAGGAAAGCCTGGAGGGGATCTGTCGGTTTGTAAAGCGTGATTTTTGTGGAGGAGGAAATCCATTATGGGGGTTTTATATCTCCCTGGGGAAACTGTCCTATCCTTTGCTGCTGTTTTTATGTTATGTGTGTTTTGTTTTTAAATTTCAAATCTTAGGCTTGATTTAAGGAAAGTCCTTAACTTTCCTGACATAGATGGAGGCCCAAAGGCAGCAAAGTACAGCCACTTAGAAGGCTAATAAATCAAGGAACCTCAAGGCCAACTCATCTTTTTGCACATCCCCACAGCAACCCCCCCCCCCCC